AGGAGCCCCTCAACAATTTTTTCAAAATGTATTTATTTGGAGAGGTGGGGGGAGGGGCAGAGAGACAGGGAGAGAGAATCCCAAGCAGGCTCTGCGATGTCCCCACAGAGCCTGACACGGGGCTCAAGCCCACCGACCATGAGGTCACGACCTGAGCGGAAACCAAGAGTCGGACGCTCAACTGACTGAGCCACCCAGGCACCCCGAATGCCGACTCCAAGTTAAGCCTTGTCCTAGGCTCTGAGGATACGGCGGTGAAGACAGGAAAAAGGATAGACAGAGATCCCTGTCCCTGTGGCGCTTTTATGCCAGTTGGGGAAGACATACCATAAACAAAATTGAGAACTATAGTGCCCGTAAGAGGTCATAAATGCAAGACAGTCGTAAAGAACCCTAGGAAGCCAAGGATTGCAGGGTTAGGTGGGAGTGTCAGGGATGCCTTGCTGACAAAGGTGACGTTTGAGCCAAGATTTAAGGAGATCCGAGGACCAAGCTGCAGATTTCTAATGGAAGAGCAATCCAGGCAGAGGAGTACGTGTAAAGGGCCCGAGGCAGCCGAGAACCTGTGTTTGAGGAATCGCAAGGAGGCCAGGGTGGCTGGAATGAAATGCGCAATGAGAGGAGCAGTTCAAAATGAGGCCAAGGGGTGCCTGGGTGGCTCAGTCGGTTAAGATTCTGACTTCGGCTCCGGTCATGATCTCGTGGTTCGTGGGTTCGAGCCCCGCGTCGGGCTCTCTTCTGTCAGCATGGAGCCCGCTTCGGGTCCTCAGTCCCCCTCTCCCTCTGCCCCTCCCCTGCTCATGTGTGCGCTCTCTCTCAAAAATAAACATTAAAAAAAAAAGAAAAAGGAAAAGAAAATGAAGCCAAAAAGGTAAAATGGGGCTAGGTTAGGTAGGGCCTTGAGGACTTTGGCTTTTACTCTGTAAGACAGAGAGCCCTGGGAAGATGTGTGCAATGGGGGAATGCAACCTGAGGGTCCACTGGAGGGCAGGGGCACTTATAAGGCGCCGGCTGTTGGCAGCTGGCTTTGGAAATCCTATAGCGTCATTTCTGCCAAATTCTGTTCATTAGAAATTAGTCCCCCGAGGGGCACCTGGGTGGCTCAGTCAGTTAAGCATCTGACTTTGGCTCAGGTCATGATCTTGTGATTTGTGAGTTAAAGCCCTGCGTCAGGCTCTGTGCTGACATCTCAGAGCCTGGAGCCTGCTTCGGATTCTGCATCTCCCTCTCTGCCCCTCCCCTACTCATGTTCTGTCTCTCTTCCTCTCTCTCTCAAAAATAAATAAACATTAGAAATTATTCCCTGGAAATCAGTCCCTGGCTGGCTCAGTGAGTAGAGCAGGCGACTCGTGATCTTGGGATTGTGAGTTCAAGGCCCACGTTGGGGGTAGAGTTTACAGGAGGAAAAGAAGGGAAGAAGGGAGGAGGGGAGGGAGTTGAACCTGGCCCACATTCAAGGAGGTGGCAGGTGTAAGAGAAGGAACCATCGAGGACAACTCTGAGGTCTTTGGCCTGAGCACCTGGAAGGACGGGGCTGCCGTCAGCTGGGACGGGATGTCAGCTGAGACTGGCGGATGCCGGTGTGGGAGCAGGTGAGTTAGTGGGGCTGTGAGAAGGCCAGCACCAGACCCTTGGGAGAGATCTGAGGGGGTAACTAAGCTCTCCGGGTTTCCAAGGCATTACTCAAGCAGCTAAGAACCAGCCTTGACTTTCAAAAATACTCTTACTAAGGCCTCTCTAGGGTCTGGAGAAGTATCTGGCTCCAGGCTCTGGGCACCCAGGGACCCTTCCCCACCTCCACCTTCCCTCAATCTCCAGCGGCTCCCCAGCTGAAGACAGATGCTTGGTTCTGGCCACTGACCTTGATCTCGGTCATTCCTGAAGCTTCCTCGAATTCCCGGAGAAGCCAAGTGCTATCGGCTGTATACAGCCCAGACTCCAGATTCATGTGCCCCGGGGCCCCCACGGATGCAAGGTCACACAGCCCTACGGTGACCTGTAGAGACTGCCTGGTCCTGCTCCCCAGAAATTCCAGGCAGGGCTAGCCTGTGGGGATGTGTCTCTTAACCCAGTGACCCGGGGAAACTCCCCCCTGCACAAAGGTTCAACCCCCCCTCCCCCCCACCACCATGTCACTGGACTCCAAGGGGGACCAACCCCCAGAGGTATCTGGAGAATGTCCCCATCTTCCCCCCCTACAGCTCCATAGACAACATGTGAATATGCACACACATACCCCACTCCCCAGGTTGTAAAGCGGCAGTTCCTCCCCCACCCTCACTTAAAGAAGAGGGAGGAAGCTGCGAGCTGCCATAGAAACTATTGTAAAATGTGGTTCTTGGGGGAGAAATGATGTAAGGACACAGGGAGGAAACTGACTCAAAACAGACAAGCCCGGAGGTGCTCATCCTCAATGCATTTGCTGGCTCAGCAAGTACTGACTGAGCCCCCACCCTCCAGCCCTGCCCAGAACAAACCAAGCCTGGCTCAGTCTCAGTGGGGAGCGGGGAGTCCGACAATAGACAAACACATTTGTAAATAAATACGGGCGACAGCAGAAGGTGTCGTGGAAGGACAGAGCAAAACAGGTAACAAGGGACGCAGTAGCCCCACCAGCTGCTGAGTGGACTGGGACAGTCATGGCATGACGGTCTCTTCAGGCACCCGCTGCCGTCCTCACAACTGGGTGTCACTGTCCCCCACTCCCTGCAAAGTGAGAGAAACAGGCTTGGATGCAGTAGGTGAGTTCCTGCTCACATAGCTGGGAAGGGAGCCCCCTCCCCCTCATCCCAGTGCAACGGCACCTCCCTATCCTACAGCTCAGCTGGCCTCTCTGAGCCTCAGTCTCCTGGCCTGTAAAATGGGAATGTCATGAGGTTCCCAAGGGCTTCACAAGAGGTCCATCCATAGGGGGCCGCACTAACTGTGGACTGCAGTATAGTCTGGGCCAGATGAGCAGAGCAAAGTAAAGGAGACCCTGCTGGCCAGCTGTGGGGGGGGGGGGG